ACAACATACTGGCACAGTTCATTGCTTCAAAACATACTGATACAGTTCATTGCTACAACATACTGATACAGTTCATTGCTACAACATACTGACACAGTTCATTGCTACAACATACTGACACAGTTCATTGCTACAACATACTGGCACAGTTCATTGCTACAACATACTGGCACAGTTCATTGCTACAACATTGCACAGTTCATTGCTACAACATACTGATACAGTTCATTGCTACAACATACTGGCACAGTTCATTGCTACAACATACTGATACAGTTCATTGCTACAACATACTGACACAGTTCATTGCTACAACATACTGATACAGTTCATTGCTACACATTACATTTGCTACAACATATACTCAACATACACAGTTCATTGCTACAACATACTGACACAGTTCATTGCTACAACATACTGAGCCACAGTTCATTGCTACAACATACTGGCACAGTTCATTGCTACAACATACACAGTTCATTGCTATACAACATACTGGCACAACAACATACTGACACAGTTTCATTGCTACAACATACTGACACAGTTCATTGCTACAACATACTGACACAGTTCATTGCTACAACATACTGACACAGTTCATTGCTACAACATACTGGCACAGTTCATTGCTACAACATACTGACACAGTTCATTGCTACAACATACTGACACAGTTCATTGCTACAACATACTGACACAGTTCATTGCTACAACATACTGACACAGTTCATTGCTACAACATACTGACACAGTTCATTGCTACAACATACTGACACAGTTCATTGCTACAACATACTGACACAGTTCATTGCTACAACATACTGACACGTTCAGTTACAACATTGCTACAACATACTGACACAGTTCATTGCTACAACATACTGATACAGTTCATTGCTACAACATACTGGCACAGTTCATTGCTACAACACAGTTACTGATACAGTTCATTGCTACAACATACTGACACAGTTCATTGCTACAACATACTGGCACAGTTCATTGCTACAACATACTGACACAGTTCATTGCTACAACATACTGATACAGTTCATTGCTACAACATACTGATACAGTTCATTGCTACAACATACTGGCACAGTTCATTGCTACAACATACTGGCACAGTTCATTGCTACAACATACTGACACAGTTCATTGCTACAACATACTGATACAGTTCATTGCTACAACATATTGGCACAGTTCATTGCTACAACATACTGATACAGTTCATTGCTACAACATATTGGCACAGTTCATTGCTACAACATACTGATACAGTTCATTGCTACAACATATTGGCACAGTTCATTGCTACAACATATTGGCACAGTTCATTGCTACAACATATTGGCACAGTTCATTGCTACAACATATTGGCACAGTTCATTGCTACAACATATTGGCACAGTTTATTGCTACAACATATTGGCACAGTTCATTGCTACAACATACTGATACAGTTCATTGCTACAACATATTGGCACAGTTCATTGCTACAACATACTGACACAGTTCATTGCTACAACATACTGATACAGTTCATTGCTACAACATACTGACACAGTTCATTGCTACAGCATACTGACACAGTTCATTGCTACAACATACTGGCACAGTTCATTGCTACAACATACTGACACAGTTCATTGCTACAACATGCTGATACAGTTCATTGCTACAACATACTGGCACAGTTCATTGCTACAACATACTGGCACAGTTCATTGCTACAATATACTGATACAGAAATAAACAGGTTAAGTTTAAGTACACAGCTATTTATAACAGTAATTTAGTCAACTACAACTAAGACAATTTATTATATTACTGAAGTATATTCTTATGTGCTGTACTTCCTGTAAGGTAATTTGTGTAAATGTACATGTGTGTGGTGACATGTGTACATGTACCTCTTTGAAGTGAAGTGTTTTCATGTACATGTTTGTGGTAATGTGTGTCCATGTACCTGTGTGTGTTGATGTGTGTCCGTGTACATAAATTTATGTGGTGATGTGTGTCCATGTACATAAATTTATGTGGTGATGTGTGTCCGTGTACATAAATTTATGTGGTGATGTGTGTCCATGTACATAAATTTATGTGGTGATGTGTGTCCGTGTACATAAATTTATGTGGTGATGTGTGTCCATGTACATAAATTTATGTGGTGATGTGTGTCCATGTACATAAATTTATGTTTTGATGTGTGTCCGTGTACATAAATTTATGTGGTGATGTGTGTCCATGTACATGAATTTATGTGGTGATGTGTGTCCATGTGCATAAATTTATGTGGTGATGTGTGTCCATGTACATAGATTTATGTGGTGATGTGTGTCCATGTACATGAATTTATGTGGTGATGTGTGTCCATGTACCTGTGTGTGGTGATGTGTGTGCATGTACCTTTGTTTGGTGATGTGTGTGCATGTACCTTTGTTGATAATGTGTAGTAGGTTCGGCATGTCGATGCTGCATGTAAAAAAATCAAGTAAGATAACTTCCATGTGTGTGCACCTTAGGGGGGGGGGGGGGGCCTGTTGTGTTGGTGTGTGTGTGCATGTACCTTTGTTTGGTGATGTGTGTGCATGTACCTGTGTGTGTTGATTTGTGTCCATGTACATGAATGTGTGTGGTGATGTGTGTGCATGTACCTGTGTGTGTTGATGTGTGTCCATGTACATGAATGTGTGTGGTGATGTGTGTCCATGTACCTGTGTGTGTTGATGTGTGTCCATGTACATGAATGTGTTTGGTGATGTGTGTCCATGTACATGAATGTATGTAGTGATTTGATTCCATGTACTTGTGTGTGGTGACGTGTGTCCATGTATTTATGTGGTTATGTGCTCCATGTAACTTTATGTGGTGATGTTTGTCCATGTACCTTTGTTTGGTGATGTGTGTGCATGTACCTTTGTTTGGTGATGTGTGTGCATGTACCTGTGTGTGGTAATGTGTGTGCATGTATCTGTGTGTGGTGATGTGTGTGCATGTACCTTTGTTTGGTGATGTGTGTCCATGTACCTGTGTGTGGTGATGTGTGTGCATGTACCTGTGTGTGGGGATGTGTGTGCATGTACCTGTGTGTGGTAATGTGTGTGCATGTACCTGTGTGTGGTGATGTGTGTGCATGTACCTGTGTGTGGTGATGTGTGTGCATGTACCTGTGTGTGGTAATGTGTGTGCATGTACCTGTGTGTGGTGATGTGTGTGCATATACCTTTGTTTGGTGATGTGTGTGCATGTACCTGTGTGTGGTGATGTGTGTGCATGTACCTGTGTGTGGTGCTATGTGTGTACATGTACATGTGTGTGGTGCTATGTGTGTACATGTATCTGTGTGTGGTGATGTGTGTGCATGTATCTGTGTCTGGTAATGTGTGTGCATGTATCTGTGTGTGGTGATGTGTGTTTATGTGCCTATGTGTGGTGATGTGTGTCTATATACCTGTGTGTGGTGATGTGTGTCCATGTATCTTTGTGTGGTGATGTGTGTCAATGTACCTGTGTGTGGTGATGTGTGTGCATGTACCTGTATGTGATGATGTGTGTGCATGTATCTTTGTGTGGTGATGTGTGTCCATGTACCTGTGTGTGGGGATGTGTGTGCATGTATCTTTGTGGTGATGTGTGTGCATGTACCTGTTTGTGGTGATGTGTGTTCATGTAACTGTGTGTGGTGATGTGTGTCCATGTTTCTGTGTGTGGTGATGTGTGTGCATGTATCTGTGTGTGCGGTGATGTGTGTGCATGCACCTGTGTGTCGTGATGTGTGTGGCTGCACCTGTGTGTGGTGATGTGTGTGCATGCACCTGTGTGTGGTGATATGTGTGCATGTACCTGTGTGTGGTGATATGTGTGCATGCACCTGTGTGTGGTGATATGTGTGCATGTATCTTTGTGTGGTGATGTGTGTCCATGTACCTGTGTGTGGGGATGTGTGTGTATGTATCTTTGTGGTGATGTGTGTGCATGTACCTGTGTGTGGTAATGTGTGTGCATGTACCTGTGTGTGGTGATGTGTGTGCATGTACCTGTGTGTGATTATGTGTGTGCATGCACATGTGTGTGGTGATGTGTGTGCATGTATCTGTGTGTGGTGATGTGTGTGCATGTATATTTGTGTGGTAATATGTGTTTATGTGGTGATGTGTGTCCATGAACCTTTGTGTGGCGATGTGTATCTCTGTACATGAATGTATGTGGTGATATGTATTCATGTACCTGTGTGTGGTGATGTGTGTCCATGTACCTATGTGTGGTGATGTGTGTCCATGTACCTATGTGTGGTTATGTGTGTCCATGTACCTGTGTGTGGTGATGTGTGTCCATGTACCTGTGTGTGGTGATGTGTGTGCGTGTACCTGTGTGTGGTGATGTGTAAGCATGTACATGTGTGTGGTGATGTGTAAGCATGTACATGTGTGTGGTGATGTGTGTGCGTGTACCTGTGTGTGGTGATGTGTGTGCGTGTACCTGTGTGTGATGATGTGTTTGCGTGTACCTGTGTGTGGTGATGTGTAAGCATGTACATGTGTGTGGTGATGTGTGTGCGTATACCTGTGTGTGGTGATGTGTGTCCATGTACCTATGTGTGGTGATGTGTGTCCATGTACCTATGTGTGGTTATGTGTGTCCACGTACCTGTGTGTGGTGATGTGTGTGCGTGTACCTGTGTGTGGTGATGTGTAAGCATGTACATGTGTGTGGTTATGTGTGTGCGTGTACCTATGTGTGGTTATGTAAGGTTATGTGTGTCCATGTACCTGTGTGTGGTGATGTGTAAGCATGTACATGTGTGTGGTGATGTGTAAGCATGTACATGTGTGTGGTGATGTGTGTGCGTGTACATGTGTGTGGTGATGTGTGTGCGTGTACCTGTGTGTGGTGATGTGTAAGCATGTACATGTGTGTGGTGATGTGTAAGCATGTACATGTGTGTGGTGATGTGTATGCGTGTACATGTGTGTGATGATGTGTGTGCATGTACCTGTTTGTGGTGATGTGTGTCCATGTATCTGTGTGTGGTGATGTGTGTGCATGTATCTGTGTGTGATGATGTGTGTGCATGTACCTGTGTGTGGTGATGTGTGTCCATGTATCTTTGTGTTGTGATGTGTGTCCATGTACCAATGTACCTGTGTGTGGTGATGTGTGTGCATGTACCTGTGTGTGGTGATGTGTGTGCATGTACCTGTGTGTGGTGATGTGTTTTCATGCACCTGTGTGTGGTGATGTGTGTGGCTGCACCTGTGTGTGGTGATGTGTGTGCATGCACCTGTGTGTGGTGATGTGTGTGCATGCACCTGTGTGTGGTGATATGTGTGCATGTATCTGTGTGTGGTGATGTGTGTCCATGTACCTGTGTGTGGTGATGTGTGTGCATGTACCTGTGTGTGGTGATGTGTGTGCATGTACCTGAGTCTGGTGGTGTGTGTGCATGTACCTGAGTCTGGTAGTGTGTGTAGAAAAATTCTACTGTTATTTGCCACAAAAAACAACTTCAGTGACAACGATTTTTGTCTCCGTTTTTTTTAAACATCTGAAAACACAACATACATGTTTCTGTTAGGAAACTGTATGTGAATTTAGTGAAGATGATATCCCTATAATATTGCCAATGTGCTGTCTTTAGGGCAGCCAGATTAGTTTTGAAGTCACAGACAGCCTAATGTCTGACTTGTACATATATAATCTTAGAATCGCAGACAGCCCATAGTCTGACCTGTACATATATAATCTTTAAGTGGCAGACAGTCCATAGTCTGACCTGTACATATATAATCTTAGACTCGCAGACGCCCATAGTCTGCCCTGTACATATATAATCTTAGACTCGCAGACGCCCATAGTCTGACCTGTACATATATAATCTTAGACTCGCAGATAGTCCAAAGTCTGCCCTGTACATATATAAACTTAAAGTGGCAGACAGCCCATAGTCTGACCTGTACATATATAAACTTTAAGTGGCAGACAGCCCATAGTCTGACCTGTACATATATAATCTTAGAGTCACAGATAGCCCATAGTCTGCCCTGTACATAAAAAATCTTTAAGTGGCAGATAGCCCATAGTCTGCCCTGTACATATATAATCTTTAAGTGGCAGATAGCCCATAGTCTGACCTGTACATATATAATCTTAGAGTCACAGATAGTCCATAGTCTGCCCTGTACATATATAATCTTAGAGTCACAGATAGTCCATAGTCTGACCTGTACATATATAATCTTGGACTCGCGGATAGTCTATAGTCTGCCCTGTACATATATAACCTCAGAGTCACGGTTAGTCCAATATTGACTCTGTGTTTGTGTGTGTAACTGGAGTTGGATGTTGTCTGGCAGATTTTGCCGATGTTTGTCATGGATGTGCTGGGAGATATCGTGGGTCTACCGGGTCTCTTCGTGGCTGGACTCTTCAGTGGAGCTCTCAGGTAAGTTGTCAGATACAACTTTACACAAGGGAACAAAACAAACCAGTAGAGCATGCTGGGTAGTTGGTGGTGTCTACACAACGATGGGCGATTAACTAAGTATTATCTTTACTTGTAAACAATAAGAAAGACAGACAGAGAGAGAGAGAGAGAGAGAGAGAGAGAGAGAGAGAGAGAGAGAGAGAGAAGAAAAAAAGAGAGAAAGAGCGAAAGAGAGAGAGAGAGAAGAAAAAAGAGAGAGGGAGAGAGAGAGAGAGAGAGAGAGAGAGAGAGAGAGAGAGAAGAGTCCAAGACACAACACTGGGGGAAGGAGATTAAACAATATTAGAGACAGTACAGTTTAGATGATAGATAACAGGTAGACTAATGCACATGTTAGCTGATGATATTTAACTCATTTTAGTAGACTCTATTTAACATACATCACCGTCATCATCCTCATCATCATCGTGTGGGCAATAATGCCTCTCCACAATCTGCGATCTTAAACAGCATGTATCAGTTGATGTGCTGAGACCGCTCCATGCAATGACAAAAGGCTGTTAAGAAACTGTTTGTACTGTCCTCCTCTGTCTCACTTTCCACAGATCTCTCTAATGGTCACAACATGTTGCAGTTTCCGTATTCTCGTCACCAGTAATGACTGTCTCTTTCTGATGTTTGTGATAAGTTGTCTTTGAGCTCTCGTCTCTTTTCAAACATTTGAGATGCCCTTTCTTGGTTATCCAAGCAATTCTAAGAATCATTCTTAAAGCCATATCTTTGAGGCCTCAAGTAATTTTACGACTTGTTTAATAATCATCCAGAATTCACAGCCACGTGTAACAACTAGCTGCAGATAACATGCCCAAACTTCTTGTCTACCTTCATTGACATTATAAACTGTAGTTTTAGCCTCTCCTAGTCTGTTCTCTTTGTCTGTTAGTCTGTTCTTTTTCTCTGTTAGTCTGTTCTCTTTGTCTGTGATGCATCTTTTGTGGATGTTATCCATGTGCAGAGATATTTAGATTATGTAGTTTTCTTAAAAAAAAACACACATTTCACTTTAGATAAAGGTTTAAGCACTATTCTTTTCTTTGGTATTACCGTTACTTCTGTCTTTCCATTATTGAAGTTGATGACATTTCTACCATCACCGTATCTATCAATCATTGTAGTTTTTGTGTGTCTGACTTGTCCCCATCAGGCATTTGTCTTCAGCATAATGTAGGTTGTTTATAGTCTGACCGCCAACCAAATTTCTAATACACAAATAGAGACCAATAATAAAGCCTGTTATTATGTCAATATTTACAGACAATTGGACTAAACATTTGTTCATGTTATCTGGCCCACTACACGTGTGATTCTTTCTGTTGTCAAAATCTGCTTGTGCCGCTAGGCGTCGCAGTCTATCAGATGATCGGCAACCGAGCCAGGGCGCGCTCAGTCGCTTCATATGCCGTGATGTTATGAAGTCTCAAGTTGTCCGTGACTCCTTCAATCCATCTTCTTCTTGGTCTTCCCCTGCCTCTTGTTGTTTCGATTTTCATGTTGTATGCTCTTGATGCTGGCATCGTTGGTTCCATTCTCATTAGGTGACCAAACCATTTCGTTCTTTGCTTCTCAATAAATTTTTAACGATGGGTATGGTTCCAATAGTTCTTGTAATCACATCGTTTTCTCACCCTCGATCTCTTCTGGTTTTTATTCGCAGCCATTCTCAAACATCTCATTTCACAGGTGGTTAGTCTTCTCTCATGTTCTTTTGTTAATGTCCAAGTCTGACATTGATAACCTAATGTCGGTATAAAGATTGTATTTATAATTTGTCTTTTTATCTCAGCTGGGACAGCAGGGTTTTTTTTAATTGGGGCAAGCTGGTATGCGACATTGTTGGCTTGTTGGATTCTTGCTTCGATCTCTCTGTCTATTTTACCATTGGACATTGGATGTAAAGATACTTCCCAGGTATTTAAATTCTTGCACTTGTTTTAGGCTGTGATCTAGAATCTTTATGTCGATGGTCTGTTGGATGGTACAAATACCAACAAGCGGGTGTCAGCTGGTACAAATACCAACAAGCGGGTGTCAGCTGGTTCAAATACCAACAAGCAGGTGTCAGGTTGTACAAATCTATTCAGATATGATCAGAGGATGACTCAATAGATTGGCCAGAAGAAATGAGATGCAAAAGGGTCTGTGTATAAACCAACCGTTGCTGATTTGAAGACATGCAAACAGAAATATGAATGCCAACAAACAGATTATACTGATTATCCATCTGTGTCAAAACTGTATTGCACAGTGTTATACACATGTCATTAGTGACATTGTATAACACTGTGCAGTACACTAATGACATGTGTATAACACTGTGCAGTACACTAATGACATGTGTATAACACTGTGCAATACACTAATGACATGTGTTTAACACTGTGCAATACACTAATGACATGTGTATAACACTGTGCAATATACTAATGACATGTGTATAACACCGTGCAGTACACTAATGACATGTGTTCAACACTGTGCAATACACTAATGACATGTGTATAACACTGTGCAGTACACTAATGACATGTGTATAACACTGTGCAATACACTAATGAAATGTGTATAAAACTGTGCAATACATTAATGACATGTGTATAACACTGTGCAGTACACTAATGACATGTGTATAACACTGTGCAGTACACTAATGACATGTGTATAACACTGTGCAGTACACTAATGACATGTGTATAACCCTGTGCAGTAAACTAATGACATGTGTATAACACTGTGCAATACACTAATGACATGTGTATAACACTGTGCAGTACGCTAATGAAATGTGTATAACACTGTGCAGTACACTAATGACATGTGTATAACACTGTGCAATACACTAATGACATGTGTATAACCCTGTGCAGTACGCTAATGAAATGTGTATAACACTGTGCAGTACACTAATGACATGTGTATAACACTGTGCAATACACTAATGACATGTGTATAACACTGTGCAGTACACTAATGACATGTGTATAACACTGCGCAGTACGCTAATGAAATGTGTATAACACTGTGCAATACACTAATGACATGTGTATAACACTGTGCAATACACTAATGACATGTGTATAACACTGTGCAATACACTAATGACATGTGTATAACACTGTGCAGTACACTAATGACATGTGTATAACACTGTGCAATACACTAATGACATGTGTATAACACTGCAATACACTAATGACATGTTTATAACACTGTGCAGTACACTAATGACATGTGTATAACACTGTGCAGTACACTAATGAAATGTGTATAACACTGTGCAATACACTAATGACATGTTTATAACACTGTGCAGTACACTAATGACATGTGTATAACACTGTGCAGTACACTAATAACATGTGTATAACACTGCGCAGTACGCTAATGAAATGTGTATAACACTGTGCAATACACTAATGACATGTGTATAACACTGTGCAATACACTAATGACATGTGTATAACACTGTGCAATACACTAATGACATGTGTATAACACTGTGCAGTACACTAATGACATGTGTATAACACTGCAATACACTAATGACATGTGTATAACACTGCAATACACTAATGACATGTGTATAACACTGTGCAGTACACTAATGACATGTTTATAACACTGTGCAGTACGCTAATGAAATGTGTATAACACTGCAATACACTAATGGCATGTGCAAAACACTGTGTGTAAGAAGAAACTGACATATATTGTAATGTATTCCAGCACTATTTCTTCGGGGCTAAACTCCATCTCTGCCTGTGTCCTGGAAGACGTTATCCGAATCTACTTCAAGTCGTACATGAAAGAGAGCAGGGCGAGGATTGTGTCTCAGGTGCTGGGTAAGTTCTGAATCTACTTCAAGTCGTACATGAAAGAGAGCAGGGCGAGGATTGTGTCTCAGGTGCTGGGTAAGTTCTGAATCTACTTCAAGTCGTACATGAAAGAGAGCAGGGCGAGGATTGTGTCTCAGGTGCTGGGTAAGTTCTGAATCTACTTCAAGTCGTACATGAAAGAGAGCAGGGCGAGGATTGTGTCCCGTGTGCTGGGTAAGTTAGCAAAACCTAATAAATGTTTAGTCAGTTAACAAGAAGATTTCTGCGGCATGAGCCTCAAGGGGCTCAAAATGCTGGGGGGGGGGGGGGGGGGGGGAACAATAAGACTTGGCATCTGATCAATCAGAATTACAGATAGTAACCTAGAACACCACAACGTTTATTTGGAAGTAACCTACACTTAACAGATATTTGTTAAGGTAACAGTAGATGCCGGTTAGCGGGGTAGGGGTATTCCCTATCAACGGAGAAGTAAGACGCCTCCTTTCCTCCGCTAGTCTACGGGACACCCTTGGGCAAGGTGGAGTACCCGTTTAGCCCCCCAATCAGGGTTACGTGAAGCCATGGAAGCAGGTGGTGGATGGAGTGTAAGAGCAGCCGACAGGTATTGTTGGTTATGGTCTGCACTCTGCGGCGATAGGCAGATGATCTCATCAGTAGAGACAATGGCTATGGCCACCGACTAGTATAGTCACTGCTCAGGAGGAAAGCAACGGCAAACTACCTTCTGCAAATTTTGCCAAGAATCCATAACAATCATGAAAGAAAACGATGGGTGCAGGATGTGGCAGATGATCTCCAGATGGGTGTATCAGACGCAGGACATCTTGCTCATGATAGGAAGGTTTTCCGGAGGGTTGTTATGGCAGCGAGGTTCCGCGAGGGACATGCTATTGAATGAATGAATGAATGAATGAATGAATGAACAGTAGATGATAGGATGATAAATAGTGCTAGAGTAGCAATGGATGGGAATTATTTGCTAAATCAACAACAAATGAGATATATGGTGAAAGTAAATGAAATATGATTAATATTTGCCTCACTGACAACATAAATAGTAGACTAACAATGCATGACATGTGATACTCACATACGACACAAAAAGCCTGGCAATTGCTGAGTAATTTAACTAAATATTATATTTACTTGGAAAATCAGACAAACGATGCTTACTAATTTATCAAAAATTGACTGTGAAACTTCTCAGACTTGAAAGATATTTAGCAAGTTAACAAAACATCGAGGTATTTGATGAGTTTTCAAGAAAGTGAATGTGTGTAGTAGGTTCAATATATATATTAGATCCTTTATACATTAACTTTAAGTAAATATTGCATATGTTAACAACACTTGGCATATCTCAAAGTTAAATGTCTCTTCCTAAGTAAACAAGACATGAAAGAGAGTTCATAGGTTGCTAAAACAGTGACAATATTTGTTATACAGCAAAACGTCATAGATACAGGGTGTGTTTTAATGACTTTTTTGTGTAGAAAATATTGCAGTTCTATTTTTGAAATGATTGTCTGTGGAGTTAATGCAACTTATACTGCTATTCTGTGTCCTATTTTGGTTACCGTTTTCTACATTGCAGCTTTATCTACATTGCAGCTTTATCTACATTACAGCTTTATCTACATTACAGTTCTATCTACATTACAGTTCTATCTACACTACAGCTCTAACTACATTACAGCTCTATCTACACTACAACTCTATCTACATTACAGCTCTATCTACACTACAGCTCTATCTACATTACAGCTCTATCTACACTACAACTCTATCTACATTACAGCTCTATCTACATTACAGTTCTATCTACACTACAACTCTATCTACATTACAGCTCTATCTACACTACAACTCTATCTACATTACAGTTCAATCTACACTACAACTCTATCTACATTACAGTTCTATCTACACTACAACTCTATCTACATTACAGTTCAATCTACACTACAACTCTATCTACATTACAGTTCTATCTACATTACAGTTCAATCTACACTACAACTCTATCTACATTACAACTCTATCTACATTACAGTTCAATCTACACTACAACTCTATCTACACTACAGCTCTATCTACATTACAACTCTATCTACATTACAGCTCTATCTACATTACAGTTCAATCTACACTACAACTCTATCTACACTACAGCTCTATTTACATTACAGCTCTATCTACATTACAACTCTATCTACATTACAGCTCTATCTACATTACAGCTCTATCTACATTACAGCTTTATCTACATTACAGCTCTATCTACATTACAGCTCTATCTACATTACAGCTCTATCTACATTACAGCTCTATCTACATTACAGCTCTATCTACATTACAACTCTATCTACATTACAGCTTTATCTACATTACAGCTCTATCTACACTACAGCTCTATTTACATTACAGCTCTATCTACATTACAACTCTATCTACATTACAGCTCTATCTACATTACAGCTCTATCTACATTACAGCTTTATCTACATTACAGCTCTATCTACACTACAGCTCTATCTACATTACAGCTTTATCTACATTACAGCTCTATCTACATTACAGCTCTATCTACATTACAGCTCTATCTACATTACAGCTCTATCTACATTACAGCTCTGTCTACATTACAGCTTTATCTACATTACAACTCTATCTACATTACAGCTCTATCTACATTACAACTCTATCTACATTACAGCTTTATCTACATTACAGCTCTATCTACACTACAGCTCTATCTACATTACAGCTCTATCTACATTACAGCTTTATCTACATTACAGCTTTATCTACATTACAGCTTTATCTACTTTACAGCTCTATCTACATTACAGCTTTATCTACATTACAGCTCTATCTACATTACAGCTCTATCTACATTACAGCTCTATCTACATTACAGCTCTATCTACATTACAGCTCTGTCTACATTACAGCTTTATCTACATTACAACTCTATCTACATTACAACTCTATCTACATTACAGCTTTATCTACATTACAGCTCTATCTACATTACAGCTCTATCTACATTACAGCTCTATCTACATTACAGCTCTATCTACATTACAGCTTTATCTAAATTACAGCCTTATCTACATTACAGCTCTATCTACATTACAGCTCTATCTACATTACAGCTTTATCTACTTTACAGCTTTATCTACATTACAGCCTTATCTACATTACAGCCTTATCTACATTACAGCTCTATTCACAATCGATTTTACCGGTGAAATTGCTAACAACATTAGGATGAGACATTTGATTATCATGAAATGACATCAAAATTACCATATTCGAATACTTGCCACCATTAATGAAGACATGCTCCACCAAAAATATTTTTTCTTCAATAGTAAATACAATTATAGATAAGATCAGTTATAAAACACCAGTTAATAGCAGTGATATTCCAAACTATCGGTTACATGGCACTTGATTGATACGCGACGTAATACAAAGATTTAATTGTGGTGCACAAATAAATTATTTCATGAAGTCTACAGTCATTTAACATGTACCCTATATTTGTTATATGTTACAAAACTGTGTTGATAATTGTTATATTATAAAACATGGTAGATTTGGTTAAATTACGAAACGTTGTTGATAATTGTTATACTATAAAACATGGTATATTTGGTTAAATTACAAAATGTTGTTGATAATTGTTATACTATAAAACATGGTATATTTGGTTAAATTACAAAACGTTGTTGATAATTGTGATACTATAAAACATGGTAGATTTGGTTAAATTACTAAACTGTGTTGAGAATTGTGATACTATAAAACATGGTAGATTTGGTTAAATTAGAAAACATGGTGATTGTCTCTGTATCAGACCCACCACATTTTTCTGTGTGAACTGGTTTACCGCACTGATATATGTCTAGACTAATGAGTTTTAATCGTTTTGACACGGGCCTCCATAATTCAGCCATTGTGTTTTAGTGAAGATAGATGTGCTTTTGTTGACTAATTGCAGCTCTGATGTTTGGGGTCGTGTGTCTGGCACTGACGTATGTGGCATCAAAGTTGGGCAGTATTCTACAGGTATGTGCACCTTCACAGATAACAATGTCTACACAAAATACCAGTTAATTCTAGCAATGCCTGATAATTCTTTACCCTGCCTGATTATTCTATACCTTTACTTGATTATGTGCCAAGCCTGTATACCTTAACTTGATTCTGTGCCAAGCCTGTATACCTTAACTTGATTCTGTGCCAAGCCTGTATACCTTAACTTGATTCTGTGCCAAGCTTGTATACCTTAACTTGATTCTGTGCCAAGCCTGTATACGTTAACTTGATTCTGTGCCAAGCCTGTATACCTTAACTTGATTCTGTGCCAAGCCTGTATACCTTAACTTGATTCTGTGCCAAGCCTGTATACCTTAACTTGATTCTGTGCCAAGCCTGTAAAGCTTAACTTGATTCTGTGCCAAGCCTGTATACCTTAACTTGATTCTGTGCCAAGCCTGTATACCTTAACTTGATTCTGTGCCAAGCCTGTATACCTTAACTTGATTCTGTGCCAAGCCTGTATACCTTAACTTGATTCTGTGCCAAGCCTGTATACCTTAACTTGATTCTGTGCCAAGCCTGTATACCTTAACTTGATTCTGTGCCAAGCCTGTATACCTTAACTTGATTATGTGCCAAGCCTGTAAAGCTTAACTTGATTCTGTGCCAAGCCTGTATACCTTAACTTGATTCTGTGCCAAGCCTGTAAAAGCTTAACTTGATTCTGTGCCAAGCCTGTATACCTTAACTTGATTATGTGCCAAGCCTGTATACCTTAACTTGATTCTGTGCCAAGCCTGTATACTTTAACTTGATTCTGTGCCAAGCCTGTATACCTTAACTTGATTCTGTGCCAAGCCTGTATACCTTAACTTGATTCTGTGCCAAGCCTGTATACTTTAACTTGATTCTGTGCCAAGCCTGTATACCTTAACTTGATTCTGTGCCAAGCCTGTATACCTTCACTTGATTCTGTGCCAAGCCTGTATACCTTAACTTGATTCTGTGCCAAGCCTGTATACCTTAACTTGATTCTGTGCCAAGCCTGTAAAGCTTAACTTGATTCTGTGCCGAGCCTGTATACCTTAACTTGATTCTGTGCCAAGCCTGTATACCTTAACTTGATTCTGTGCCAAGCCTGTATACCTTAACTTGATTCTGTGCCAAGCCTGTATACCTTAACTTGATTCTGTGCCAAGCCTGTAAAGCTTAACTTGATTCTGTGCCAAGCCTGTATACCTTAACTTGATTCTGTGCCAAGCCTGTAAAGCTTAACTTGATTCTGTGCCAAGCCTGTAAAGCTTAACTTGATTATGTGCCAAGCCTGTAAAGATTAACTTGATTCTGTGCCAAGCCTGTATACCTTAACTTGATTCTGTGCCAAGCCTGTATACCTTAACTTGATTCTGTGCCAAGCCTGTAAAGCTTAACTTGATTCTGTGCCAAGCCTGTATACCTTAACTTGATTCTGTGCCAAGCCTGTAAAGCTTAACTTGATTCTGTGCCAAGCCTGTAAAGCTTAACTTGATTCTGTGCCAAGCCTGTATACCTTAACTTGATTCTGTGCAAGCCTGTATTCCTTAACTTGATTCTGTGCCAAGCCTGTAAAGCTTAACTTGATTCTGTGCCAAGCCTGTATACCTTAACTTGATTCTGTGCCAAGCCTGTATACCTTAACTTGATTCTGTGCCAAGCCTGTATACCTTAACTTGATTCTGTGCCAAGCCTGGATACCTTAACTTGATTCTGTGCCAAGCCTGGATACCTTAACTTGATTCTGTGCCAAGCCTGGATACCTTAACTTGATTCTGTGCCAAGCCTGTATACCTTAACTTGATTCTGTGCCAAGCCTGTATACCTTAACTTGATTCTGTGCCAATCCTGTATACCTTAACTTGATTCTGTGCCAAGCCTGGATACCTTAACTTGATTCTGTGCCAAGCCTGTATACCTTAACTTGATTCTGTGCCAAGCCTGTATACCTTAACTTGATTCTGTGCCAAGCCTGTATACCTTAACTTGATTCTGTGCCAAGCCTGTATACCTTAACTTGATTCTGTGCCAAGCCTGTATACCTTAACTTGATTCTGTGCCAAGCCTGTATACCTTAACTTGATTCTGTGCCAAGCCTGTATACCTTAACTTGATTCTGTGCCAAGCCTGTATACCTTATCTTGATTCTGTGCCAAGCCTGTATACCTTAACTTGATTCTGTGCCAAGCCTGTATACCTTAACTTGATTCTGTGCCAAGCCTGGATACCTTAACTTGATTCTGTGCCAAGCCTGTATACCTTAACTTGATTCTGTGCCAAGCCTGTATACCTTAACTTGATTCTGTGCCAATCCTGTATACCTTAACACTATTCTGTGCCAAGCCTGGATACCTTAACTTGATTCTGTGCCAAGCCTGTATACCTTAACTTGATTCTGTGCCAAGCCTGTATACCTTAACTTGATTCTGTGCCAAGCCTGTATACCTTAATTTGATTCTGTGCCAAGCCTGTATACCTTAACTTGATTCTGTGCCAAGCCTGGATACCTTAACTTGATTCTGTGCCAAGCCTGTATACCTTAACTTGATTCTGTGCCAAGCCTGTATACCTTAACTTGATTCTGTGCCAAGCCTGTATACCTTAACTTGATTCTGTGCCAAGCCTGTATACCTTAACTTGATTCTGTGCCAAGCCTGTATACCTTAACTTGATTCTGTGCCAAGCCTGTATACCTTAACTTGATTCTGTGCCAAGCCTGTATACCTTAACTTGATTCTGTGCCAAGCCTGTATACCTTAACTTGATTCTGTGCCAAGCCTGTATACCTTAACTTGATTCTGTGCCAAGCCTGTATACCTTAACTTGATTCTGTGCCAAGCCTGTATACCTTAACTTGATTCTGTGCCAAGTCTGTATACCTTAACTTGATTCTGTGCCAAGCCTGTATACCTTAACTTGATTCTGTGCCAAGCCTGTATACCTTAACTTGATTCTGTGCCAAGCCTGTATACCTTAACTTGATTCTGTGCCAAGCCTGTATACCTTAACTTGATTCTGTGCCAAGCCTGTATACCTTAACTTGATTCTGTGCCAAGCCTGTATACCTTAACTTGATTCTGTGCCAAGCCTGATAGTTCAATAATGGGAATTCTAAACCCTGCCTGCTAATTCTAACCCTTTATGATAATTCTGTCACTATCTGATAATTCCTCTTCTAATTATATCCCGTATACTTTGTATTGATGTAATGTACAACTAGTCGGCTCTGTGGCTACGTCGATGCAAACGCTTCGTAATGGCTTGGTGCCGGGTTCGATCCCAGCTGCGGGCCAGGCGCCTTTCGTTGGTTTTGACAGTGGTATCAGGGGGCCGACCGTACAGTGGCATTGGCAAACTGCTGGACGTAAATTTGCCTAGAGAAACCACACAATAGCCAGGGGCTGCTGGGGTTGGTTCTGCAACGTCCTGTAAAGGATACGCAACTAACCTTTAATGTAAAACTATGATATTTATACTTTTCAACCGACACATCTAGCTTCTACACACATTTATTGATTTTGATTCTTGTTATTTCTAATTAGTGTGGCATCTAGGCAGCTCACTTTTTGACCGGTTTTTTATTTTTTAAAGGTACAATACTGGATGGAATTAAGAGTGCGCAACATACCCAAATTGCCATGGAGAAGGAAATATATGTTAATGAGGAAAGATTGGAAGTGGTGGAAAATTTCGAATATCTTGGGTCATTGGTTACCAACAATGGTGACACAATGAAAG